GCAAACAGGACTAGACTTGCAAAGATCTCAGGCGGAACTGCTTGCTATCCTGAAGAGAGACAACGAAGCTTGGTGATCTCATCATGCATAGGAAGTGGAGACAACCGCTGTCCTTGGTAACCATCGTGAGATATTCCGTCCGATGCGGGAAACAGGCAGCAGGAGAACTGAGGGTAACGAGACTATACGCGACATGGGTGGTTTATACGTTGATTAACCGTGCACGTAAGGCCTCCAGCGAAGACACTGTTGCAGGTGAATTGAGGCGAATCAAGAACCTCTTCCTTGAAAATGGTTTACCAAGAACACGTCTTTGCCATCCATATGAGGCTCCACGACCCGAAGCCTATCGTGCAAACAGCTGTTTCCCAAGATCCCCTTTAAGGAGGACAATACAGCTGAGATACGTGTGTGAGAGAGACATGTAATCCTGTAGAAAGACCAACGCAGCGCGCTTTAACGTGGTTTATACGAGCAAATTGCCACTTATCCCTAGCTTCAAGGACAAAGTGCCTAATAAATTCCAGATCATTGGTGATCTACCGGTTTTCTTGCTCCTGTGGAGCTAGCTACATTGGATGCACAATCAGGCACTTAGTAAAGCGAATCAAGGAACACCTACCGAGAATTCGCTCATCAACCGAAAGGACAGAATAGAACTAACGTCCTGATCAGTACACGGCACCATGTTGACAAATGTAGTGCCTTCGAAATTTCATGTGAGGTGCCATCATCTAGCAGCAGGGTTACTAGCTACCGCTGAAGCAATAATCATAGGATTGATGAGGCCAAAACTCTGCATCCAAAAGAAGCTCGCTCACGCGTTGCAACTTCCTTGATCAACAGCTACAAGAAGAGAAACAGATCCGGCCCAACAACATCACGTGCCTTCTAACACCTGTTTATCATACTCACATCATGAGAGCCGTTTAATTTTGGTCTAATCAATGGTTTACTTTAGTACTGTCCTACGGATTTGATTTTCTTGGAGTATATTTCTGTAATAGGCCTGCTGATTATTAAATCGAAAACAATTGTTTGCTTTACGCGTTCCGCTTGCGCTTTTCTGGAACCGCTGTATCTATCGGCGGCTAATCGTGGTCATGTTTCTCGACCTCAAGGGTGCCTTCGCTTCTTTGGATCGCGTACCCATTGGGATTGCTTGCTCAGGAAAGGTATGCCCGATAAATGTGTAAATGTCATAAGACCGCTGTACGCGTATATTTCGAGTAGAAGATGGTTTATAGCAAACTGTCGCTGCTCTTCAATATATCCAGCGGTGTGACACAAGATTGTCCACTGCCCCACTTCCTTCTTAATTTTGCCATTGACCAAGTCTTAGAAACGATGTTCGCTGGACACGATCTGCAAGGTGTGTAGTTGCTTCCTGGAAAGCGACCTCTTGACTTGGTGGATGCTGATGACATTGCTCTAATCTTTGCGAAGATACACTGGACATATTGGTACTAGCTGTCGGTTGTTTTAGACTTTGCATTGCGCCTTCGAAATGCGAAGTTTTTTTTCCAAGATTGGCAGGGACCGCCTCCTGCGCTGGTGGGGACCAGGTGGAAATCGTCCAGTAATTCAACTATCTCGGCAGATATTTTAACGTCTGTGGAATAGAAGATGAGGTCACAAACCGTATAGCAAAAGATTGGGTTGCTTTTGCCAATCCGCCACCTGTGGCGCCGGCGTGACATCACACTCGCTCGGGAGAGCAGAATTTACAATGCAGCCATGCGTTCAGCCCTCCTGAACGGCTGCGAAACCTGGTCCATTTGGTCGACAGACATAAAGTGACTAGTTACTTTCGATCATCGCTGTCTTCGCAGTTTGTCTCACACATAATGGGAGCACCGCGTGAGCAATGGGCGAGCTCGGTGTCGTGCATTTGGTGCAGGAAAAGCGAATGAATCGCTCAGCACCGTTACATCACGCATCAGGCCGCAATGACTGGGCCAAGTGTTGCGCATACCAGCACACCGACTCCCGCGTCGTACGTTGGTTACGCGTCGGGGTGTGGATGGAAGAAGAGGATGGGAGGCCAAGCGATGACTTGGGCGAGAGGAATTAAAAAACTGTCTTCGAATTTGGCGCCTATTGGTGTCTCCCGACTGCCGAGCTGGGGTCTGAAGGACGATCAACACGTTTCCTTGGATAAAACTTTTGACATGGCGAAAAGCCAACCCTACTGGCATTTGTGTTGTGAGTTTCTTTGTTTCCCCCCATCCTGGTTATCTTCCTCATCCAACTAGGTTCTCACATTATGTTTAATATGACACCAGGCATCACATAACGTTTCTGGTTCTCATTTTTATTATCTACTACTTTTTATCTCGTTTTTTCTCGTGTATCTTACCCATTTTGTATTGCGGCACATCAGCTGACATGTATTGATGTTGATGATGTAGATGATTCAGAACCTGGTGGATTTTCGCCCGGCAAGCGTTCCTCCGATAAAATGTCACATATGTCCGTTTAACTACACATTGATGTGCCGGATGTGACTCACCCCTAGCCAAAGTCACTGCCCCTTGGTTCATATCAGTGGCTTATTGTGGTCCACAGAATGGTGAAGTGTATTGCACCCCTTTTGGCAGCTCATCAAACCAAGGACGTACGCACTAAAATACCGGTCGCCGGCTCCCCATGGTCGAGATTTCCTCGCTTCTCTCGAGCTGATTTTGGGGCAGGGTATTCAGCCAAAGGCTCGGAATGGTGTCCCCTACAGTAATTGCCTACTTTGACCTGTACAGACGGATACTACCACGCCTCCTGACGAGATCTTGGATGACGATAACTACACCTTCCTTTGATTTCCATGGGTTTTGGTGGCTTTACGTCTATTCGTTAAATGGCCCTCATGTACCAACAGGGATCGACTTGATACCGCTCCCTTTGTCTTCTTTTAGAGGTGGGAATAGCTGTTGGCAGCCACTGACTACAAAGCGGTTACTGTCTCCCCTACTTTGTATCGAATAGAACAGGTGATATAGACACCAGTCGTATATCACCGTCCTCCGGAAGCGCCGGTGAGCATCGCATCTAAGCCAGGCACCTTGTTCCACTTCACTGGTACTTGCTTGTGTCGGATCCCATTGATGGTGAAAATTGTCACATCAATATCAGAGATAAGTTCGGCTGACGCAGCTAGCGCGTTACGTGAATGGGTTGCGACGTGCAATCTCAATGTGGACTACGATTCGCATTGGAGTGAACCTTGGTCAATTCGATCTCTGGGACTGTAGCGGAGGAAGCTAAGTGTTGGTTTGCACGCATTTGGCCGAGACAACAGGATTGGGACTTGAACGCGGAACCTTTGTGATGCCGGTCGAGTAGAAACTTCTGCTGAAATGTGCGACTGGGTGCTTGGGATACGTTGTGCATAGGGTGCTTCGTACGTTACTCCAGTCAACCTGTTGCCCACCCGACTGTCAACAGTAGCTGGTGTTGTAATTCACACTTAGATCAATGCTTTGCGAAATGTTCTTATAGGTTACGAGACATTAACTTAGCATTTGAAAGTGCTACGACGAAATCGGACGATTAAGCGTTATACTACTACGTGCAAGTGCATGATCAGAATTCAGACAGGTGCACCAGACCGATCTACAGTCATTCACTACTAACGTGCACCACATACAGGTGCCCGTCGTCCAGTGGCCGCCATATAACTCATTTTGTGCCTTCCTTCTGAGAAGCTGTGCAACTGATGTAGAATCTGTGACCAAAATGCAGCCGTATGAAGCGAGCGCCACCGTCGATGTGGCGAGCATCAATCCCGGAACGGCCTCCGAGTCGGTGTTCTAACTGTCCGATAGACTAGTGGCTTCAGTATTGATGTCATTCATATTGAGCGCGATTTCTGTGCTTTTGGCTATTCAAATAACGAGTTCCTCATAGATTGCACTGTTGTTGAATTTCTGGCTACTGTTGGTGGAGAGATAAACAGTAACAATGAGATTACATCATACACTCCACTACCACTGGTCTACTCCTTTGGAGTCTTATAGTCAAATGACATGTACCCCGTTATATTCGCTACGGTTCATTTGCTCGTCTTTTGAAAGCTTACTGCAACCACCGCAAGCATTGGGTTCAACGTCAACGAAGGTGCGAAATGTGTAAACTCCGTCGTCTATATCCGAGTATTTTAAGCACAGATGCACCAGAAAGCTTTCGTCCATTGATTTAGTGTGTACTTAGGTCCTGGGTTTGCTAAATGGCTTAGTTTTCTGTCACTATGACTAATGTAGTCTCTAGGGCTTCTTTGTCGGTTGACGCGAGACGTGGATTCGTGAAATGTGAGATAACGGAATGGAAAAACATTGATGTTGTCATATACTCTATTCCAGTGGCTCACTCTGAAAGGACTTTTTGTTCGAAACCGGTAACACATTACCCAACCGTATTCACTCCACAAGGTTTGGAGAGTTCGTGCCATGTTCACAATACACATGACTCTGTCTAGTCATCTGCAGTCAAAGTAGTCACTTTCTTCATATCCTCACTGCTGTCTACTCATGTATCCGATGAAGCTGATAGAATACGCACATTCAATCATCGTTTGCTTGCATGACTAAGAGTTCGTCACTGTGAATTAAACCCCGTTGTTTCAGCAAAACACCTCTGTTTTGAGTGTCATTCTAAGTCACTATACTTATGTCAGATTTGAGTGCTTTGAATGCTTTCGCTAGCCGTGTCATCCCCTTCTATAAGGCTGTCTTCATTAACATTCAAATCATGCTCCCTGTTTGGTTCACTCGCGCGAAACGGTGGGGCATGTCACGGATGGGATTCTGGTTGAGTAGACTCGGACACTTGTCGATTAATGTACGATTATAAGAAGTCCGAGTAGTTAGATGCTTGAGAGTATGATCATCGTTGCTCACTCCATATATATCAGGAGATTACTTCTGTCCCTTGATGTTGTTACTTTGTTTCTACTTGATCTGTGATATTTCTGCACCCACATCTCTTTCATTCTGTCCATTGTGTAGCCCACGAGTCTGTGAAACAAGATCTTGTGACCCTTAAGAAACAAGCCCAACAAACGACACAAGAGTACGATCGTCTATCCACGGAATGCCAGGAGCTACAAGTATGTTTGACTGTCGTACTGCGGATCGCGGTTTTAACACATGAAATTTGTCATGTTTCAAACTACCTGATCACCACATATACAGTCGTTTCCATTATGCTTTGTGGTTTATCTGGCTTTTCAACCCTGGGGCTGGTCATTGTTTGGCCATGTATACATAAATAACTACATGTTTTGTTCCCGGCAGTGCGGGGCACGCCTGCGAAGGTATGATTATGATAATACAAACAGGTATGGTCGGTAATAGTGTAAAAATAGAGCAAATTAAGCAGTAACATACTGGCTTTTTGTGTCTATATATATGTAAGTGTATATGTTAGTGTGTTCGTGGCATTCCGTCAACTATACTTCCTGACCTCGTGCACTTAGCTAGGATTTGTTTGTAAACAACTTATTACGTATGCTATTTAATTAAGGTTTATGTCACCGTTTCCTTATGCATTAATCGAGTTATTTTCTTTCCCTCTCTCTCTCTCTCTCTCTCTCAAGTGTTTGGCTGTTGTTTGATATCCCCGGTGTGGATGCGCTTGATGTGCATGTTGACAAGGTGCCTACCTGTCTATTACCCACTACCTCGTCCATACTGGCTCCAGGAGACAGTTGGTCGTTGCTGGTGGGGACGGGGTGCACGCTCCTTGTGGCCGTGTTAGGATCAAAGAGTGTTTCCTTGCACTCAGTGTGGAGTGGACTACCGTCCAGCCACCGCCTTGTGTGCGCTTGATTCCCCAAATACAGCATGCTTGTGTTTGCCTGTGAAGGAGTGTGGGCCGGCTCCGTTGATGAAACGTGGCTCCCATCCGCATGCCTCCCGGTCTTATTCCTTCGAGTTTACACTGGATATGGGGTATGTGGTTGGAGCTGTGGGTGGTGCAGCGCAAGCCATCCATGGTCCCTTTGTAGGCGCAGGCGTCCTGTGGCTGGCCACAGTGACAGGCAAATCCGAAACAGGATGCCACCAGCTATATATGTTAGTGGGCATGGTGAGTGAACTTGTGAAGCGTGACTGAATTCGTGAGTTTGTTTGCTGTGTTCGCCATCGTATGAAGGGATCAATGGAACTCTTCGAAACGGATGACGTTTGTGCAGTGAGGATCCTCCGGAAGGGGAAGAGGTAGTGACTTTCTTTAGTGGCGAGTCACATCCGCCATGTTGCAGGGTTGTTGAACGGACCTTTGTGGTTTTTTCTAGGGAGAACGCTGGCCAGGTGAAAATCCACCACTTCCTGGAACACTGCCACTGAACTATTCGCTGGAACGGGATTAACCCGAACCACCCAGCTGGCGCCACGTGGAGGTTGTTCGGCTAGCCAACCGGATGACCGTAGGATGACCTCATTCATGCTGCGTCCTTGTTCCTCGGCCTTCTACTTATGAACTTCTGTACCATAGACGGAACGCAAGATGAGCACTGCTATCTTTTTCAAAGAATAATGTATGGCTAGGCATTATCTCCAGGCTTCTGGTTCTTTGACAACACACTAGATTCTGCTTCATATGTTTTCCATTTCCATAAGTCATCTGTCTTGAAGATGCGCATTTGCATTATGCGGCCGGTCGTCGCGTTTTGCTATGTTCTGTTCTATAACACTCATGTCCTACTTGGAGATTGTCGTGTGCTTGACGTGTTATTTATGTAGCTTACACATCTGCAGTTGCTCCTCTCGTGCTTTCTCAACCGTAGCCCAGCATTTCGGTGCAGTCTCGTAGTACATAATGGCACTAGTGTGATGTGCATCTCCGATTCCGACAGAAGTCATTGTTTCACCCCACTCGATTTGTTAAACAGGTGGGTAAATTTCTGAGATGCATTTGTCGCTGCTTCAGGTAGCAACTACACATCTGGACCGTTTCGTTCTCTCTTGACTCGTCAACAGTTGACTTTCTCTCTATCCACCTGGATGTTAAAATCTGCCACTCTGCCCTTACGAAGCATGTGGCTGTGATTGATTGGCTCTACTGCTGACTGGATTCCTCTTAATTCGGCCCCTGCATGATGACTTCTCGTATTGTAGCGCACATCATCCATTCAACCTCTATCTTACCACTGAAATACCGTATTAATGAAGTTAATCCCTACATTAAATGTTAAACTACCATGGTCGTTGTTTTAATGCACTTAAGCATTATCCAAAGATAACTTTTGCGTGCTACTTAGCGCTTCGCTATTGACACTGTATTTTCTAAGCTACTGAACTGTTTAGACTCGCTGGTAGCTTTTTTCCAATGTGAAACAGCAAGTGTTTATACTTACTCCCAACGATGCCTTCCCATCTGCTTCTACGTGACCTTCGGCTTATTTTCTCTTCACATAAATGCACTGGGGGTAACTACCGTGCTGTTTTGATGTTTGCTCACCGACGCATCCGAAACTACGTAAGCTCGACTCACTGATGAGCATTCAGTAGCTCACGTTGCGCTCGGTCACCACACTACATGTCATCGATCAACGGCGCTTCTGCCTCCCGCCGCGATGGTATTCAGCCGCCACTGTGCCGATCGTTAATCCGCTAGTTTTAGCTTTCATGTTGGCGGGCTTCTGTTTAAAACAGCCTATCTAGACTATCACTGGATACCTTACTACTGCCTTGTATCCAAGCTCAGTACTTGACACCTGAGATATCAGCCGCATTCGGTCAACCATCGCAATCTGAAGACCCTAGATACCGTTATATTCGCAATTCTTCGTGTTTTCTAACGCAACGGCAACTGATTAACTTGACCGGAAAACCTCTCTTGGTTATCAAATGCCACTGATCTATTTGGAAACTAGTGAGATAATTCATTTTTATAGGTTCTCGACTGATTTCTCTATTTATAGTACACTTAAAGGTCCACAAGGACGGTAGTTGAAAACGCCGCTGGGTTATTTCTCCCGGTTGATTTTAAGGCCACAATGCAAACCATCTTATTTTAAAATTGTATGGTTCTGTAACATAAGTCCTTATCTCGACTACCTGATCGCTATTACATTCTTGCTTTTGCAGCTTATACCTCTTAAACGATTAGTGCATCTCGCAACCTGCAACGTTTTATTTAACCAATTCCGCGCATACCAACAGTTGGACCTCTTCTGAGTCGGTCTCTTCACTTTAACCAAATATTGGAGTGTGCCACTGAAAATTATGCCTTAGAGAAGACGAATTTCTATGTTTGCGCGCCTTTATTTACGTATGGCAAATTGTCGCAGCATCGATGGCACCACACTCGGCATGTTCTTCATGCCGTTCGGAGGTGCAGCACTAGGACGACTGAGAAGGAGACTGTATTTAAGAGCAAGTAGAAAGGTTTCTGTACAACTCTATCGAATTACGAAAAATCAAAATTTACTTGTGAATTATCAGCAGTTGTGTCTGGTCCGTTAATCGTTAATCCGTGTTCGGTTAGAAATTTATACTAGCGTCATTATTTCCGGACATACAATGTCTTCTTTTGGCACTGTATGTGCATCGTTTCACAAAAGCACAGGTTTCCAAAATGATCGTCGATACGGGTTTTAAAACACTTCACAGAATCGGCCTCTATTAATCCTTCAGGTAGTGTATTCCACAAGTTTACAATTCTTCGTTCGATACAAAGCTGATGTGATACTTTGTTCATGCTGGGGACCCTGAGTTTGTAACGATGTCCTCGGGTGTTACAGGGTTCTCGCAGGTGAAATATTGGCCGCAGTATGGGGAAGTGATTCAAGTGTAGTACTCGATGGGTTATAATAAGATCAATTCTTACTCGGCGATAGGATAGTGTGTAGACTCCGAGCCTTTCAGAACGTTTTTCATACGGAAGCTTTCGTAGACTTGGTATCATTCTAGTTGCGATATGCTGTATTTTCTCCAGCTTTTTAGTTTCCCATTGGGTTATCGGATGGTAAGCTGGGGCAACCTATTCAAGGATTGGTCTAATGAGCGAGGTGAATAGACGAGGGACGGTTTCTTCGGACCATGTGGAGAAACTGCGTCGTAATGCCCAGAGCATACGAAGTTCCGCACGGTACAATTTCTCTGTATTTTCTAGTGATCTTAAATCATGTCGTGAGAGAATTCCTAAGTCTCTGACAGATGTGTTGGGATGGAGCAACTGGCCGTCCAAGGTGTATGATCGAGTGGCTGGACGTCTGGTGATACTGATGAACTCCGACTTGCTTGCGTTAAGAGGGAGTTGCATTTCAGTGGACCACGTTGACAGTCGCTCTAAGTCATGCTGGAGGCGAGCGCAGTCGTCCTGGTTTTCAATGATCCTCCAGATTTTCAAATCATCTGCAAACTGGGCACATGGTGACTGGAGCTGCTGCAGAAGATCGTTGATATGAATAAGAAATAATACTGGCCCAAGTACAGTTCCTTGAGGCACACCACTGGTCGATGGGAACCATTCTGTAAGATAGTCATTGACTTGTACTCTAAACCTTCGTCCCACAATAAACTCTTGTATCCACTGAAGTAACGTGCCACCGATACCGTATGTCCTCAGTTTACGAAGGAGTACCTCGTGGTTCACTCTGTCAAACACCTTACTAAAGTCGATGTAGACCACGTCAACATCCTTCTGTTCATTGAGAGCTCGAACCCACTGGTGGTTTGCGTACATCAAGTTGGTGATGCAGGATCGCCCTTTCGTAAAGCCATGTTGCGCTGGCGTCAATATGTCCATCGATTCGAAGAACGACAGTAGACACTTTTTCACAACCTTCTCGAGAACTTTGGATAATACCGAAGTCAAGCAGATCGGTCTATAGTTCTCTGTTTTACTCGGATCACCACCCTTGGGAAGCGGTTTAACTATCGAGCATTTCCAGTCGTTCGGGACGGATCCTTCATAGAGCGATCTATTGAAAAGGTTTGTCACAGCTAGTGAGATGATAATCGATGGGGACTTAAGTATTAGTGGGTGAAGTCCGTCTGGTCCGGGGGGCTTTTCACCATTGAGGTTGACGAGTAGCTGATGTACTTCGACTGCATCACATTGTAGGCTGACTAGCAAGATTTGCGCAACCTGTGCCGGTACTGGAACAGCCGCCGGTTTACTGGAAAATACAGTGAGGAAGTGCGTAGCCAGGGCGTCCGCGCGCTCCGCGCTTGAAATGAGTGTCTTCCCCTCCAAGCCCTCTAAGACCGGTAGGTCGTCCCCAGGTTTCAGTTGACGTTTCAAGTAGGCAAATATTCGCTTGGGTGCAGTTGTGGCCGAGGATGCTAGCTCCTCTTCGAACTGCCGGCGTTTCTTGATCTTTGCGGCGTTACATAAGTTACGCTGTTTCTTGTACACCGTGTAATCTTCATCACAACCCGAGCTGATGTATCTATCCCAAAGTTTACGACGTCGTCGCGCTAACCGTCTGTATTCCCTATCAAACCAATGCGGTTTGACTAGCAACGGATGGAATATTCACGGATTGAAATGTCTTGGAAGAAACTGAATTACTTACTCCCGCTACTCAAACTTTTGTCACCTGACTGCTAGTCTAGAGAATGGAACACCTCGTATTCTCCGGAGTTGACGAAATCTGTTGTCACCTAACATAGTACTGGCTTGCATGTTGGCGTGTTAACAAAGAAATAACCGCAAAGCACCCTAATGTTGAGGCCCGCGAGTGTCATACGATTGGGAGCATGCGTCTATCCGATATAGATTGTCCAATTGATTCGCATCCAGAGACCCTATTCCTGTCCCAAAACTCAATAACCTTATCTTCCCCATCCTTCTACTACAACATGTTATACTTTGGCGAATGTTCGAACTCACCAGTCACATGGTGGTACTCTTCTCTATTTTGTCAGAATCGAACACTGACAAATTATTCAGATTAGTACGCGTCTCTACTGGGTCAAGTAGGAATCAGGCGTATCTAGGCGGGTTCGCACAAAAACAGTGATTTAATTGGTTTCACATACTCGTCCGCTGCTTAACTAGTACTCGGATTGGTTATACTCAGTGAGTCGAGTACGGGAATCACTGTTGCCCAGCAAGTTCATATTCTCCGATCCAAAAACACCTTCCTACTGTCAGATGCCCTGCAATAAATCTTCAGTCTTCAGTGGCACTTGTTGGTAGGTGTGTTCGTCATCAAAGAAACCACTGATCCAGAACATGGTGATTTTCGTTTGATAAGCGTTTCCCCTTGCAAAAAGCCACATATGTGACCTGACTGCTGCGAATCATCACTCAGTGAAGTCGCTGACTCTTGTGGAGAGTTTCGGAGCTGCTCTCTCCTAACACTGCACTCCGCGGCCGACCGGTTTCCTCCTGACTTGGGCTCGTCATATATAGCTGAGCGGGGAACCCGACACAGTGGTTGACGACTTTCGTCTCGGTCACCAAGTCTGAGCTGCGCAGTAGCGCTTGACACAGCGGTTAGCAGTTCATTACTGGGTCTCGGAATACGTGCCGTGTGTCTGAATTGCAACACGGATTCTCGATTGACGTTTTGCTATGCCTTGAAGCAAACCTATGGGGCACGCTCTGGCTTAGTGAACGAGTCGAAAGCCATCAAGCCATGTGTCGTGTTCCCCTCAGCTCAAGCTATCTCTACCTGATGAGTCCAACTCAGAGCGAAATCAGTTGGTCGAAGAGCGCATTCTTAGGAGAAAGCAGCTCCGAAACTTTCCACTTCGGATGCGATCAAAGTGATCGAAATGGCATTATTTTGCTTCAAAACCAACTGCAGCCTCATTCGAGCTGGCGTGTCTCAAACTAGACACACGGCAGGTACTTCAATACCCAGTAATCAGGTACCGGTTCCCTGTGGATGCGATTCCCTGACTTGGTTCCGCTGTCCTACGGGCAGGCTATTTAGCCAATGGACCGTGGTGATTTTCCCCAAGTCAATTTTCTACTTCGGCTCGGTCAACCGCATAGTTTCGCGCCCTCTGACAAAACCATAGATTTTGTTTGGTGGGTTGCATGTTTTTGCGATAACTGTACAGTGATTCACGCACGTATGCATCACCTTTTATGCCTTATAGATCAATAGCTCTTCTTGGTGGAGAATGCGGATTGAAGGACGACACATATTCAATCAGAAGCTATTGTGTGTTCATCTGAATCGCCCGATTTGCGAACGGATTACAATGCGCAGTCTCAGTTTGAACCGCGATTTATTTTGTAGTGACCACTCAGTTCGGTACCGATACGGTATATGCAAATGCTGCTCGCTCGAGACGCTACATTCTACCGCCAGTTTCATAAGTGTTTGCAATCGTCCCGATGAAGTAACGAGCTCATCATCCAGTGTAAACTTTTAGCGGATGGGCCCACCGGTCAGAACGCTTCTCCCCATCACCTCTGGTGTCCACGTGCCTACGATTTCAGACAACGGTTCATCCGGAACAACCTAACCACTGCCGCAGTCTGAACTTATCATCTTCATTTGCGGGTAGATTAGCGTTCTTAGTTCTAAAGAACCGTCCTATACGATGGCGCCTTGAACTCATCCAGTAGTATCACAGTTTTCGCCATCCTGACGTCCCCCTTTGTATTCGCGGAACTACATGGCCCAAATTGACCGATGCAGAAAGTTCTGTCTTCGCCATATACCAATACCTCTTGATGCTCTCAGCGGTGTCTTTTCTTTCTGTGAACCCATGTTTCCATGCTCTGTTTAGTCTTTGGGCGGTCTTTGATACCAACACACTCTGTGAACCGTGGAAGATTAGTCATACTGCTCCTCACCTCCGACATTGCGTGCAATAGTGATCGTACGGTTTATTTGCATGTCCTTCTCTCTTGCACGGATGTTTTCCAAGCTGGGTGACGCAATCCAATGCTGCGCAGTGATGTTACCACTATCGTTTGTGGACCATATATTGGGTTACTCGTCTTGTTGCACATCTTCGATATGCACGCGTACTAGGACCGTGTTCAGCAAATGTATCAACTGTCGCTACCTTCTCTATCACTTATCATGTCCAGCCTTTTAAAAGAAGGAAGGCATCAGCAGTCCGCCGATACATTATACCGACGCTTCATTTCCACGCGATCACTAACTTGCGCGCCGGTTTGGTTGGTACTGGTAGATCGCCCACACTTGACCGGACTCGGACCGGTAACCTTAGAATTACCAGACAGACGCCATATGGTAATCGTCCATCGGCTTTTTAGACAGGGACAACTGGGTTAAAATTTAAGGCTTTGATCAATCGAACGCCGGGTTACTGTCTTCTCTAAATCGGCTGCGTTAGTTTACAAGCCGCTTGAGAATCTTGAACATCTTCGAAATTACTTGAAGTACTGGTAGCTTGGGAGGCTTGCTCAGTTTGTTGTGATGTTCGCCGATCTGGGCTTGATTGCAACCTTTCTTCTTCATTCATGGGGGCATCATCAGTGTAGGACTGATGGTAGCTTCGTATCAAGAGCTGGTGGAAGGCGAACCCAAGGAGGATGGGGTATCGTCATCCACTATTCCGTTCCGTATCAAGGCTTATATGGGTTGTTACGTTGGCCGTTTACTGTCTGGTTCTTCATTATGTTCTGCGATGGTGCTAGGGTCATTAACATTGGCTGCACAAGTATTACTGCGATGTGATTGAGAATCTCACACATAGATTGGTGCAATGCGCGTAGGTCACCTGTCTGGGCTCACGTTGATCGTACTGTTCGTTGTCCGGGTGGCGGACTAGGTTCTTTTAAGCTACGGTTCTTAATCCGTCTGGACTCTCTCTATCTCCCTGGTTGGTATACTGGATCGCTATCGATATGCATGTTAGGTGTGTGCTTTTGGTTATCATTTCCAAAGTCAGTAATCAACTATTTTACCTCTGTTTTAATCGTCACATCTATCAGCCTACACCTCCCTTTCCTTTTTCCCAGAGTCGCCTGGCCATTCTTTCCGGATCTTCGAAGGACAAAAAATCAGATTGATTTCGCTGTTTGTTCTGATGGAATCGCTTTGGTCATCATAGCTGTCATTCTGATTCTGTATGGGCCGCGCTATCTTCCCTTCTTGTCTTTGATTTTCACCTGCGGGAGGACATCGCTTCTCCGCCTTCCGTCCACTGCACCATTTGGGTACTTCCTCACTGTTTACGTTACAGTACATTGTTCGCTCTTTGTCATGTGCTCAGTGCTTATTCTTATCAATGAACACGATGACTGTCGTCTTATTGGAGTTCATCAAAATACACTCATCAAAATGTTATTTCAGTTCATACTGGTTCAATCACTATGGATACCTTTTGCCACTTTTTGTTCGAACATCCGAGTTGTTAGATTCATGTGTCGCACTCATAACGCGGCCACTCACCCTCATAGTTGTGGGCTTACTTGAGCATTTAGTGTTCCGGTCTTCAACTGGCATTGGCATTGGAGATGTTTTATCAGCTCGGTAGGGGACTTTGGCTCAGTTCACGTTCTATACGCAACCCATCTCGAGACTTCACGTGACATGACTCTCATCCGGCACTGTTGGTGTGTTTATTGTCCTCTTGTGACCGGACTGCCTGTTTAAAATATGTTTGACGTAGTGTTACTCCTGTGGCAAGACTGACTATGACGCGGGTCAGTAGAGGTCACATAGAGTCTGTCCCACTGATGCCGTCTTTGCTGTTAGTTAGCGCATGTTTATGGTTAGGTATGGGTCCTGGATGTTTGCTTAGGGGGCTTAGGATTTACACTAGGTCCCATGGTATTATTCTTCATCTTTCGAACAACCTCGTGGTGCCAGCTGGATGGTTCGGGATTATCCCGTTCCATCATGTCTCCTTGCTGTCTTGTAGGTTAGATCCTGGATCAAAGGCTCGAGGTGGGGCCCCCTAAGCCAACCCTCTACTTCGGCCTGGGCAATCGGGTAGTATCTCGTCCACAGACGATAAAAAGCTACGGTAAGAAAATGGAAAAAAGTTGTTTTCTTTCTACATTTAATCTAACCCTGCTTTTCTATTCCACCATGGTTCCGATGGCACAAGATCTGTACACAGCTTTTGACCATTATATATGGCTGGCGGCATCCGGTTTCGGATTTGCCTGTCACTGTGGCCAGCCACAGGATGCCTGCGCCTACAGAGAGACCACGGATCGCTTGTGCTGCACCACCCACAGCTCCAACCACACATCCCATATCCAGTGTAAACCCGACGGATTAAGAACGGGAGGCATGTGGATGGGATGCACGTTTCATCAACGGAGCCAGCCCACACTCCTTCAACAAACAGAACAGAGGCATTTCGGCCTAATTGGTGGTAGCCCGTTCTACACAACATTGAACCACTCTCCGAACCGCGCCGTCAAGAGGACGGTGCACCCCGTCCCCTCCAGCAACGGCCAGCTATTTGACACTTATGCCTACAACGCTTGTTGATGGTTATATGAATTGGGTTGGAAAATTTGTACTGACGTCACTTATCATCATCAACAGCAATACATCAGCCATTTGAACTGACGCTTCGCTGCCATACAACCATGAGGACCTATGAAATAAAGAATAAGGAGAGAAGGGGGACTTACCTGAAAACCTTAATACCCTAAGCAAACATTCTGGATCAAAGCGCCTACACCTTGTGTAGACAACATACCGTCACAAACAGCTGGCTATCGTGCAAAGATAAGGCGGCATCGGCGAGACAGCTTCCTTGCGGCTTTCACTGCCACGTGTCATAATCAGCCGTTACCCCGCAGATAACTCAGCACCAAACACACTTTAAACAGACAATCCGATTAGGAGACGGCAGCAGACGCGCCACTGGTGTGTGTCAACTACGAACCATGTACTGTAAACTCTCGAGCCAAGTACAAGGTGAGTCACGTGGACTCCAACCCGGAAGGCGAGACAGACCAACGGCACCCAGTTTGGTCGTCAGTGATTTCATTTCCCGTTGCCAACTCAACTTCTGTCCACCTCGAGCCTTGCGCCATCCTACACCTGGTAGACTGAACAAGGCCCTCCTAGGTAAGGGGTGATCAGGCATGCGTAGCACGTGCCCGAGCCAACGCAACTTATTCAGTGCTATCTGTTGTTCTAGGGAGCTAGCATGATTATCACCACCTAGTACTCGCCTACGCACATCATCGTTGCGGACACGCTGGTGCCATCCGACACCAGCAATGCTGCGCAAACAACGATGATCAAAGACTTGAAGGCGCCTGAGATCTCCAGACCGAAGGGGCCAAGTCTCACTGCCATAGAGCAGAACGGACCTCACTGTGGCTTTGTATACACGGCCTTTCAGACGGAGGGAAACTTTCTTCTGTCTCCAAAGATGCCTTAGGTTCAAGAAGGCAGCTCTGGCCTTTGCAATGCGTGAGCTCACGTCAGTTTCTATGCGCCCATCATTGCTGATGCAGCTGCCAAGATAAGTGAAATGATCAACCACCTCGAGTTCCTCGTTAGCAAGCGTCAAGGGGTCATCAAGTGGCTGGTGGTCCTGCAGCAGCACTTTGAAGGTGCGAAGTGCATACCAAATAATGGGACCACTCTGGGTAGGCTATTCAGGGTTGATTGTGCCGCCTCAACATTGTCGAAAAGCAAGACGATATCGTCCGCATAATCTAGATCAACTAACCTTTCACCAGGCAGCACTTCAACGCCTACATCGTGAGATTCCGCAAGGGAACACTCCATGATAGAATCCACGGCGAAATTGAACAAAAACGGGGAAATCGGACAACCCTGACGAACGCCACTTGTAGTCGAAAAGCTATCCGATAGGACACCATAGACCCTGACGCGGCTTGTAGTGTTCGAGTATAAAGCACGAAGGATGTTCACATATTTCGTGGGAACACCTTTTCGCACAAGTAATTCGAACAGAATCGATCGATCGACTGAATCGAACGCACTCTTGAAATCGAGGAACACAGCTATTGTCGGTCTGCGGTATGGGTGGCGCTGCTCTAGCACCTGCCGCAAAGTAAATATATGGTCTATACATCCACGTCCTGGGCGAAAACCGGCCTGCTCTTCTTTAATCCGAGATTGCCATTCTGCAGTGAGGCGACGAACGATAATCGAAGTCACTCATGCGAGTGGACGGATCGATCCGATTTGATGTTATCCTTATCGGTCATCAAAATGTGTCCCACGAATGCTTCAGCCGCGTTTCCATCATTCACCGACATCTCTAGTCGGTGCATGCCCTGTTGTTCAGGGATGGACATTCACTTCTTCCTTACTCTTTGACCATGATCAGAGTGAGTTTCATTGGTTTCGCTTCGGTAGGGTAATGTGACCTCGACTTTGAATGACAACTTCTGATTGCCCGTTGATAATCCAACCCAAATCCCTACACCATGTTTGTATACCACTATTTTGCATCAGCAATCTTGGAAACCCAGTGTTAACTAACCAGAGTTCAACGCTGTCGATAACCATCTGTGTTGATAGGCCTCAGCTGTCTTCACTGAGTGCCGATCACTATAAGTGCACTGTTAACATGCGCCCCAGTCGGGTTTGTTATTTGATCATACTAGGTACCCTAACGTTCTTACTTAGCAAGCGTCTCTGATAGTGATATCTGGTTTCATGAATCATGACTTCCGTTGTTTGCCAATTCCCGTGTCTTTCGGAATACCACGAGATGACTTTTCCACCCGAATTTAGTATCGGCGAAGGTATTAAAGGCAAGCAAATCTTGTGGCTAGCTCATTAGTGAAACCTACTTACTGGAAGTATGATTTGCAATGAAAACGAGCTGCGATGACTATCGGTATTGCTTTGATTTTCGCGCAACAGCACATTAGCCTTTACGTAAAGAGTCTTACCAACACTCCATCATTAACCCTCGATAAAATATTTTGCTCTTCAACGTGCGAATTACGTGTATCGTCTCACCAATCGGTAAGCATAGAATTACTGCACCTCTTTTTGCCAGTTGTTGTTGTTGTGTTAATGTGACTATATACCTTATTTAAGACAGATTGCCTGAAGCTGGCTATATGTTGCGTTGCGGAAAAATATATGCTATAGTTTCGTTTCTGTTGTTACCCTTGTTCAATAGGGTAACACGATCAAGGGTTTAGTGACATCTTGGCAGCTTGAAAGTGAGTTGACCACGCCGCGTTGGCATAGAAAGCGTAGATGTAGCATTTGTCAATGAGCGCCCCAAACTGCTCTGCTCCCTTACCTACGGGCTTTTTTTCAACTGGATGTTTGGATAAATATACCTTTTTTCAGTCATTTGCATCCATGTCTTCACATTTCACTTTATGGAAATTAAGTTCTTCCTTAGATCTCTCAAGATGGCCTTTAGTGCTTTCAAATTGCATCCAACAGGCGCAAAGCCCCTAAGAAATGCGTGCTTTTCGTTGGGTGACCAAGCCCAAGTCAGCCGATGGGTTAGACAGAGTAGGATGATGTTTGCTGATTTGAAATTGCTCACTCAATGAACGGTCCCTTTTAGGGGCATTTGCGCCCGTTCGCTGCAACTTGATGACATTAAGAAATATCTGCGGAGTTCTGGAGAAGCATGCTTTCCTTAGGTAGGAATTTAAAGGCGCTATGGATGCAATTGGGATAAAATGTATAGAAATGACATCGTAGGTGGAAATCTTTACGACTGCTAGTGGCTAGTCGTCTGTGTATCAGGATAATGTCTACCGTTCTTACAGAAGTTGTAAATAAGATGCCATTATCTAGACAACAGTCTTCACCTCTTTCTTATCACTGATTTGTAGGAAGTGAATTAGATACTTCGACCGACCTGAAACATCTGACCTTGAACTTGTTTACCGCGGTGTGAGGAACTTTCTGTTGTCCTCAAATATTCCTTTGGTTGCCCGTGACAACGCAATTAGGACAACCAGCCCAGCAACGGACGCGTCCTTCACCATTTGGGATCGATAGCAGCAACACGACGGGGGCTGACCAATAGTTGGATTAACAGCGCTGCTTATCACTGATAGAGATAGGAATACTGCACTATTAGAATGTTACAAGTATTGTTCAAATTACTCGACCTGTGGTTCCGGCATGTTTTATAGGAGGCTTTCCTTAAGCAATTTGAAAGTGCTATGGACGGAATTGACTCAGAAAAGGTGTACTGCATACTTTTCGCGCCAGGTATATTGATCAATGTATAACCAGACAGGTTGATTAGGTTGGCCTAGTGTATCGCAGCGTCAAGCATTTACCCGTAAGTTGACAGAAAGGTTTCACGGTCTAGCCATCCGGTGGCTTCGTACTAATTGCAGACGCTAACTCATCATATGATACCACTGATGAAAGTTATCTGTACTCTCTTTGCGTCCTAGTTTTGTCTCAGTTCAGACTGAGCAACAAGGTCCCACGTAGCGTATGTGCTACCAAATTAGTTTCGGTATGCTGCGAGCGTACCGATGCGATCTAATGCTTAAACGCAAGATCAGTGAACACTGAAAGAAAAACAAGGGGTCGAACACATGTGAATGGCTGAAGCACATGTTGCGTTTCGCCACGTAGCTACTTTCAGGTCAAACGGATCACGGCATTAGGGGAGTCACATGGCCTGGTAAAAGTTCATCAAAAGTACGATGTTGAGTTTTGAAACGGCCACTGTGTGTGTTTGGATTGCCATAACCTGTTCTGTACCCGTAAAACTCTGCCAAGCGTTGCTTACGGACGTCATTGGCATAATATTTAGGACGTTAACAGCCAGCCATTAAACCTCCAGCCCCACGACCATCTCTGCCTAATGGAGTCCAAACGGGGGCGAAACAGGTCTTGAATTGCAGTGGTAATGGTGCACAACACTCAAAACTCCACTTCATTTGAACTCTTCTGCTTTATTTTTAGATCAGGCAAAGGTTTTACGCGTTTTTGAACGGCTTGGAAACATTTGGTAGTGTGAAAACACGATAAACCGCACGCTAGATGCGCTGATTGCAATCGAGTCCAGTAAACAGGCATTATGGTCGGGTCCTCATCACACAGACCTATGGGTAGAGCACTTTTAAGTCGTAAGTTCACCTTGGTAATCAGACAGACGCGCCGCACAAATCGTCCTGTTGCATCGTACACTACCGGAGTGACCATCTTCCTAGTCGGCTCGAACTCACAGTCCAACTAACACTGCGGGTGTTGTAGATGCTTCCAACCAGATTTCAAAGTGGTGACCTGCTACTTTAGTGAGGTCTGTCTAGTCTACCCAGCGTGTGTGGGTTGTGCAGGATCAGAGTGTTCGCTTACTTTTCAACTGATTCTGCGCATTACCACAACAGCGAAGCATGTTATTAGTTTTTGTCTGCTCGGTTCCATTGACTTCCGCCTAACTTCTCACCCGACATCTTTCTGCCCAGGTGTTGTAAAACCAACATACTTGCAGGTGCAATCTTTCTTAAATAGCGCACTAGCTCATTTGATTGGAATTGCAATGAATGGCCTCTAATATAATGTCTGCTATCTCGGTGGGGCGCTATATTTCTGCCGCACATAATTTGAACCGACAGATTGAAATGGAAGCGTAACGCTGATTAGCTGGTTTGATTAGGGAAATAACTTGTCAATAGTGTGGGACTCCGTTTAAGTACTAGTGCAGTAGAATGTGTGCACCGCGTGGTTTTACTTGTCATGATTTTGAAATTGATTGCTTGTAACTTTTACTCCCTACACCCTGGGCTCCTGTTCCCGTTCTTGCGACAGTTTGGACGACTTCTCTGGTAATGGTTCTTGCACAGCCGCTTGCAACTACATGACAGCACTGTGGATCTTGCTACAGTTGCGTACGCCTGCGGTTGCTAGTGTATTGAACGCAATGAAACTGGGGTAATACCTGACAGGAGATTCTGTGCCTAACAGCAGTCTGAAGTGCACTGAACTTACAGGAGTGTAGTGCGAGAGGTCGTTCGTTGTGGCAATGTTGAAGGAACAATTTGATTAATAGCCATCACTTACTCATACCTCAGTGAACTCACCCTTTCGCATCATGGTGAAGTCAAAGCAGCGATACACGCTCTGGCACAAGTGTTCATCCCGTTAGGCTACCGTCACATATTCCGCTGATGTTCGGTTAGATACTGCAATATCAAATTGCTAAGCGCAATACTAGTATTTTCCTTTTATGCTTACTACTTAGAAAGGGCATTGGCAATACGCCGGCGCATTGCATCGAAGCTTCACTACCACGCCGACACCATCTACGCGGATTCAGACGAGTGACCTTTGGGTTTCAAGACATGCGCCTTATTCATAGACCACTGGCCTTTGTTTCTACTCAGAGCCCTTCATGGTATTTCTGGCCACAACACCAAGGAAGAACCACTTGCGCAGTTTAGAGGTTGGGGATGTTAACTACTAGACGCCACATGCTGTTCACCGATTAATGCTACGCAATGCGCGGGGACATTAGGCCAACATGAAGGAGATGGACTTCGACTCTCTTAATATAAAATTAAAATTTGTGCACTCAACTATAGTGGAGCGTGTGGATATTACTCTGGGTGGAGTGACACACGCCACTTATCGGTTGGTGGCTTTGGGCAACATTCATTCTGTGGTGTTGTGCGTTGAAATAAGAGAACCAAGTCAGTTGAAATTTAGGACATCGCAACGTGTTGAAAGGGTCACATTTGTGAACATTCTCCCGACTAGCGAATATCAGCGCAAATTGACCGTTTTCTTGAACCTTACACTACCCCACACTTTGTCGATATGCTTATCGATTCTGCACTCCGTTCATCCCCACTCTCGACCTACATACTCTAGTTTGAACTACGACATGATACTAGTAAAATCCAATAGGTACTTTGATGTGCCCCAAACTTGGATTGCTTACTTGAGGGCACGGTATGTCTATTCCCTAATTATTCCGTTCATTTTACATCGCTTTACTCTGTGTGCTACAATCGGTTACTCTGTACATTTATTCTTTTCACTCTCGATCACTGACATATTCTTGACGTTTCAAGATCATCCATATTACTCTGTTACTGTGACACTGACCAAATACTCGCACACTTTGCAATTTCTGCCTTCTTGCACTACGATTGCAAAACCTATTCACAAGTCTACTGTATTTAATATATGCCTTATAGAACCACAGTTACAGGATAATTCCTTTTCTTCTTCTACCCAGACCGTGCGTTAAGTCTAGGTTTGTGGGTTCGTAGTTTCTTTGTTTAGGTTTCGTACGACGTACTTAGTTTAGACTTCGTATTGCTGGTACAATACTGATGCACATAACTATTCGATGGGATAGAACATAGTTTGCTGTTGCGTTGAAAAACACATTTTCACTGCGTGTGTGATTCGTTAACCGACATCTTTGTATCAAGCACTGGACCCGATTATTATACCGTCGCCTTAGGGTTACGGTATTTCACCGAATACGTTGTAGCAGATACTTTTCTTTTCAAATCAAAAGTAGCCAATCAACCGCTACGTTGTCAGTGATAGCTTCCCATTTAGAGGAAGTTTGGATCGTAGAATGCTATGCAGAAAAGGTGGGAGAAAACTCGTCAATTTTTGTCATAGTTAATCGCGTCGAGATTGGTACCCGGTGCTTCTCATATTAACCGAGATCATGTGATTTTCGTTGACTTGTTTCTATCCCCTCTATACACCGAGTGAGCTTTGAAAGAATACTGGTACTTGATAGTTGTGTATTGTACTGAATTGAAATCAGCTTCAATAAAGGGTATACATTTTGCAATTAAAAGATGATGTTCAAAAGAGATGCAAATACCGCTGATCAAAACGTTGTTTTTAACTGAGAAATATAAACATACTGAGGGTGAGAATGATGTAAAAAAATAAAGCTGGTGAGTTCTCTCTTACTCTTCGGACCTCCAAGCGGAACCGATCAATTCTTCCAGGAATAATCTTCTAGCTCCTTCACGGCTAGTGATTTGTTCAGCTGGGTGGTTGATAAAAACGGAACTAAGTACTCAGTAATGAGAAATAATTACATAGGCGGGGAAGAGGCATCAGATGCAATATCCAACTGCGATAAGTAACCATTCAAGTTCAGGCTGCATGGTTGGCGGCATCCGGTTTCGGATTTGCCTGTCACTGTGGCTTGCCACAGTGACAGGCACAGGACGCCTGCGCCTACAGAGGGACCATGGGTGCCTTGCGCTGCACCACCCACAGCTCCAACCACTCACCCCATATCCAGTGTAAACCCGAAGGAAGAAGACCGGGAGACAGGTGGATGGGAGCCACGTTTCATCAATGGAGCCGATCCACATTCCTACACAGGCAAACACAAGCACGCTGTATTTGGGGATTCAACCGCACACAAGGCGGTGGTTGGACCGTGGTTCGCTCCACACTGAGTGCATGGAACCACTCTTGGAGCCTAGCAGGGCCACGAAGACCGTGCATCCGTCCCCTACTGCGACGACTGACTGTCTCCTGGAGCCAATATGGACGAGGTAGTGGGTAATAGACAGGCAGACACCTTGTCAACATGCACATCAAGCGCAGCCACACCGGGGATGTCAAACTACAGCCAATTACTTGAAATGACATTATCAAATAAAATATATCTGTTAATGCATACGGCTATGCCGACATAACTCTTTGCTAAATTCGCAAATGAATTCAGTTGGTTAGCAACAAATCCGCGATAAATACAACATGTCCAGAAGTTACTCACAAATGCTATAAACGCAACGAAGTTAACAAGGATTACCACAATAAGCATATGCAATGAGTGCAAGTTAATAGAAGATTATTCCGGTAGGTAAAACAAACCAAATAAAGTGGAATACAATTTAGCCAGATTAAAAAGACCTAGTCTAAGTGTAAATTGGTTTGGCCCAACTGCGGTGAAGATGCAACATCAGCCTCAGCATAGAGCATACATGGGTGCTTACACCTCTTCAAAAATCTCAAGCGACCGCAACAGCTGGTTATGGTTCAAAAATAAGGCGGCATCGGTTAGACAACTTCTTCTCAACGTGGAGCGGCTTCGTCTCATTCAACCATCAGCATACACTGGAAACAGACATTTCGACTAGGAAATGACAACAGATAGGTTACTAGTAAACATCGTAAGCTATGCGCTGTAGAATCTAAAGCCAACTACGAGAGGGACCGGTTGGCTGCAGCCCGCTATGCGAGCAAAATCAACAGTCCCGATTTTATGTTAGTTAATGAATCCCCTCCTCTCTACCACGTCAGCTATTGCCCCAAGAGCCTATATATTCGTTAATATTCCACTACCGAGTGGTGTTCGCGATACTGTACTTTGCAACTTGAATATTGAATCACTTATGTCATCAAACATGCCGTTGATACATATCCGCAACATTCATCCACTTGATTGGAATGAAATCAATGAAGTAAACTTGGAAACAGGGGTAAAGCATTCGTACTGAATGAATGCATTGTAGGCATTTGGGTTCCCGGTCAGTGAGAAAATTCATGATCTGCAAATTTTTGTCATATTTTTAAGGCACAGTAACTAAAGTAACACTTGCGCGTTCAAATGATCGCTCCTATCTAGGGATCATATACCGTTTATCGATAAACATACAATATTACCTAATTATTCAATTATACCACATGCCAACTTATACGGTTTAACTGGTTGGTCAAGATGTTAAAGTTTAATCTGCAATTCTTAGTCCGTTACCGACAAGCTGATGCGCCCGACATCAGTAGTACTCCCCAATCAACGGTTGTTAAAGGTTTGTTTAAGCGTAATAGTTAGACACCAGACTGGCTATGATGGTTACGGATCAAACGGGATAGCTGAACGCACATGAAGCCAACAGCCGAGAAGTTAGTCGATCGCCACAGACGCTCGCTGTTGATTATTACACTGTCTGGAAGGAAAGCACATGATTGGTTTGGACTGATATGAACGACGCTCAAGTGCGGTCCAAGAAAAGTATAGTCGGAGGAAATGCGCTACATTTTGAGTGATTCAAATTCATGTGAACAACTTGTCCATACTTTCATCTCTATTCTTGTAGGGCCACGCGCAACGTTTAACAGTCTCAAATCGAATGGGCCATGTTTAACTACAGTCGATGTGAAGAGCCACCACTTTGATCGTAGTGCAGTGTGCTCAAAAGCAAGGGCAGACTTTTTCAACCATAGCTGTCACACATTCAGGGAAGCAATCCTGGATTTTTTTAAAACACCATCGACGGCCTTACGACCTCGGGAAAAAAGGCTAGCGAGTGTCTGGTGGTCCAGTAACAGTACTTCACATCTTTAAAGTGCAAGCGCCACGCTAATGGAAAGAACCACTTTGGAGAGTTTATCGTAGGGGACTGTACCGCTTCACTGTTGCCGAACATCGAGAGCAACTCGTCTCCGTCTTCCAGATTGATCAGATTCTTCCGGGAACGAAATAAATGCTTATATTGTTAAACCCAATAAAAGAATACACTCATTGCGAGAGACCACGATAAAACGTAGCGCAGAAGAGGAGATGCGACTATCCTGGCACGTGCCAATTTCCGGAAAGGCATTCAACATGCCGTGACGTGACCCCAAATGCTCGAGCGCAGAGATCGTATAACGTTCAGTTACTTCCGGAGAACATCTTTCTAGCCTTCTTAACTATCCAAGGCTATCGAGGAACACAGCGATGGTCGACATGCTGTGTGACGTCGCACCAGCATGCACTGTAGGATAAACATTTGATCTTACGGACTCATCCAGGTTGAATAGTTCCTGCACTATTAATCACAAACCCCCGTTCTCGAGCAATTCAGTCGATTAAGAAGGAGGTCACCAACTCTGTCATTATCGTTAGCTGGGTAAACGGAACGTCCGCCCAGCTTGAGTGTTGATACTACGGATAGTTCAATGAGTGGTTTTTTCCCTCAGTGTGTTCTAACTAGTAGTTTGATACTTTAGGCTTGGCGGCGTCATCATTGTTGAATAAGGGGGGGGGCACAGTCGAATCCGGACCAGTAACGCGGTTACAGCTGAGAGCATTAGAAACTTTTTAGAACATCAACTTCGGTTTGAATCGCCAATCTTTAGCATGTGCTTCCTAAGAACGAAACAGTTCAGTGCTGGCTGTGATGTCGCTAATTTTTACTTGGAAGTTTGACTTCCTGGGATTGGCGGTAGAGATCAGTAGGAAAATCTTATGGACAGGCAGCGGTGAACAAATTGGTGGATATCCCGAAGAGCACACAGCAATTAGTCTGACATGTGTGATTCTGGCAGCTGTAGCTATCCGCCGCAAATAAAGTGAACAGTATTAATTGTTTTCGAAACTGCTGCTTTTGGACTCCATCAACGTGCCTGTTCTATTTGTATGGGACGCCTCATTAGACAAGAAAATACTATGGTGATACGTTGGTGATCTCGCGATAGTACCTGTAAGGGGCATGTAAAACAAAAGGATGCAAATGTGGCAACGGGAAAAACACTCACTTCTAGACGTCCTTTTGCTCATAAGTTCCACAGCACTCGTTCGGATAGACGAAAATGTTGGACGTGGTTGCTGCAAGCCTGTTTCTGTTTGAGCCACTGAGCTACGCACCAGTTGCGTCTGAGGTGCAACATAATCCGAACTCCGCGGACCATCAATCGCTGCCGGGAAACTGAAATTTGATGTCCTTTGCCTGAACACTTGAGAGTGTCGAATGGAACTTGCTGTCCTTGAAATCCTAGGAAAAACACTAGTGGAGATCAGGATAGGTTTCGGATAGTTCTGGGATGTTCGTGATGAGTGTGCCGAAGCCGCAGCTGGTGAGCCGTCCTCCGACTTAGGTGCGTAGACGTATTCGCACAATGCGGATGTCATGCTCTTTGGTCGCTCGTAGGACGAGATACTACTTGCGGAGCTGGATACTTCATCAGAGTCGCCTGCGATTGATGAGAAGACATGTTTGCATATTTGGATGTGAAATCATCCCAATGGATACCTCGCTTTCCAATAGCACAATGTGTGTTTGTATCTTACACACAATCTGAAATTCACTCCTGGGTGAACTCGCAGCCTCTCTGTTCATCATTTTCTCCAGTTTCAATTTACCAAGATGCGTCATGTGGGCCACTAAGGTATGCGGCAAGTTTAATTACAGTTCCCTATAAAATGACGGACTAGTTCAATTGGCTGGTTTAACGCGACTCTTATCTTAGACTTTCTTGGTGACTCATAGGACACCACCTATTGGTCAAATCACCATGCACGCGATGAGTGCCCTTCAACGGCAAGTAGCGGTCGCAGTCCTGAGCTCATTGTCTTACGCAGCGCAATTCGAGTGTGGTGAGCCTCAGGACTTAGGTCTAGGGCCACGATTGGTTTTAGTACGGTGAAACCCCCGAAGTTGACCACGTATCTATGTTTACCGTTATAATTTTCATTGCTTGAACTTCGGAATCCAGACTTCTGTACGTTGATCGCTTTGATCCAGTCTCTTGGGTCCTCAACTTACGGAGGTTTTACAGTAAGTGTTAATTATCTCGCACAAGCAATTGCTTCAGATTTCCTGCTGTTTACCGACGATATCAAGAGATGGTGCAGGATTCCGGCAGACGGTTACCGGCATCTGTTTCAGGGTGACCTAGACACGGTGCATTAGTGGTCAACCGAAATTTACTACGATTCAGTCTGAGCTAATACGAAGTACTCTCCATGCGACACCAGAGCACATACTCCTACAAAGTAGGAACCCAAGTGCTACAGCAATCTTCCTTCGAATGCGACCTTGGCTTACTGATTCAGGCTAATGTGGGTTGTTTCCGGGTAATCTGAAATGGCATCGAAAGCTGGTAACCAAAAGGGCGGTCTGTTGTGATTGGCGTTCGGACAACTAGACCTCTATTTTCTAACAGATGCTCAGTGCGTAGGGCCCCTCATGTCGAAATCGCGGTGCAAGCCTGGTATTCATGGCTAAAACATGGTCTCACTGTACTGGAGCAGCTTCAGCGTTAGGCTTCCAAGTGCATCATTAAAATGTGAAATCTCTTATACGAGTAGAGGCTGAAAAGGTTGGGAGTATTCGCGGACGGTATCACCGATTACGACGCGACCTGATAATGGTATACTCGATTCTGCACGATCCACATAACGTGTGTTGCTTCTTGCTGCGACTCAGTGGTATTACCAACCTGAGAGATCACACCTTGAAATTGGTAGAACCATACAGCCGTCTGCAATGTCACAGAAATTTCTTTTCTATTCATGAACGTCACCTGTGTGACGCTGTCTTTGAATCAGTGGTTTCTGCACCCAAACTGATCATATTTAAAAGCCTGTTGGATGACTCATTTCCCCACTTACACTTTGTTACTCTCCGTCCTACTCCTGGGAAATAACTTGTATTTATTATTTTTTCTTGATTGCTGCAGTGAAACTACGCGGCGTGCACGACAACTGCACTACAAACGAGAAGTCCTTCTTTTGGAAGTGAAAATGCTAACCGTTTTTAATCACTTTTTTGAAAACCCCACTAGATCACCCAGTGAGACTTGTAAATCAGTGGTTCTTAACTCGCATAATGTCATTATTCCTTGATTTTCGTTGACACTCATCAGCTGTGCTGCAAATTGGCCCGTGTGGGTGGATAATCTACCAAAGGCGCGGTGGTATATTCTAAGTTCGGTGGATGATAGCTAGAATGGTGACCTAGGAAGTATCCTGCATGACAGAAAACAGGCGACTGATAGGTCTGTTTAAAAATGTCACACTGAATAACAACTTTACGTATGTGCGCTTCTCAGTCACCATAGTTAATACGTCCTTTGATTTTCCCATTTGACTACGCTTCTCGATGAATCTGTTAGAGTAGCAGTTTGCTTTCCGTGTGTTGGTAGTCACCTCCAGTTCATCAATAAGACAATCGGTATAACGCATTCATTCAACATAACGCATGTATATATTGGCCGCTTTTGCTGCATCGATGTGAAGCTGGTGACATGCATTTCATCAGCCACGTGCGAAGATTCATCGAGAGGAGTACCCAAATAAGCAGAATGAAGGACGTAATGCCAGGGATGACTAAGGAGTACACATTCACAGAGGGTGGTATTTCTGCAGTCAGAAGTATCAGACGCCTGTTCTCTATCACGCGAAGCACTTCTTATGCTGCCATCGTTGTTATCATCAACCGAATCCAAAAGTTAACACCGCGTCCAGTGAGAGAGTCAGCCTTATCACAGAAGGCTACAGTTGCTGGGAATTTTCAGCGGACGCTATCGAAGGCTGCGCGGGGATCCCATATTAGAATACCAGATATCGAGTGACCCCAACCACGTATGCAACCATTTGCTGAAACTTAGTCACAACATGTAGCTCAGCCGTAATTGCTTGAAATTGAAGACACAATATAGCCGTCTAGTGTCGATGTAATTACTTTTCCCCTTGGGTTTGCCAACTCTGGAACGCACTCCCAGACTCAGTTGCATTCTCTCTACCTTGGACCTTTTCAAAAAATCATTAAATGTTGTTCTTAGCTCTCAACACTTTGTTACCTCTATTGTGGATTACGCCAAGCATGGTTTTCTACAGGATTTATGTATCAAATGGACCCAAGTGAGCGACTATATTTTACTTTTCTCATGCCTTATATCAACGACCACTGCACCCCGTGTATTTCTACACGCCTACACTCGATCTTTTATTTTACACTGACGTTATTTCTCAAAGCATTCACCTCGGCAAACGCTAGGTAGATGACCCACGTATATTTCGATTTCATCGTATTCACCCCAACCATCCTACGGGACGTGTCAAGCACTTGCTTTTATCCCATGACAAATCATTGTTCATTTTTCATTATTGACCTCAGGTCATCACGCTACCGAAGACTCGAAATTACATATTCCACTAATCTATGGTTATTTCCACTTCCTCTGTCTCACCGAAACTGTTACAATCAACCATGTGCAGAGGTATTTAAAAATCAGTTTTTGGTTACTTTAAGGCATTTAAATATGCAAGCACTTGGTCGTGACCTTGAGCGAACTTGCGTACTTACCGCTCACTTGTACACTCATGTTTTTTCAGTGGCTAAGCAGCATTTTGTCGCACACATTTGGATCTACACTTCTTTGTGGTGCTTTTAAAAGCACTACTTTGTGATACCACTTTCCCGTGTACACTCCAGCGCATTCTACATTTACACTGAATTCTAAAGTCTGGGCAGTCTTTCGCTGATATCCAAGCGCCAAAAGTTGCGTAACTACAACCATCGGAGACATTGCTTGGTCTCACTCAACAGACCATTTCAACGGCTTTCGAACAAACCCTAATTCTTTCCAATCCAACGCTGCTTGCAGCGGCTACAGGTCTCAAGGCAGATTCACCAGGCGTGGTCTGTAGGCCTAACCACAAAAATTCTCAAGCACACCCTCGTGTAATCTGCCCCACATTCACGCTGACTCATTCGACTGGCACGCAGGAGAGGAGAGTCTGCGAGCACAAAACCGCAACAGGAACACTGTGACCTTGCCGTCAACGTCAGTAACAGAACAACGTTTTACCATAGTGAGTCAATCGAATTGTCGATAACATACTCAACAAGCGTCATGCCCAGTGTGCCTATGTCTATGTAGATTATGTAGACCATGTTCCAAACTTGTTAAGGGAGGAATTCTGTGCCCTAACTGTTGCAAGTTTTCTATGCATAATGCCTCCGAGTTAAATCTAGTCAGGCCAGGTTATTAAACCAACCAGATTCTCTATGGCTCTGCGTGGAATGCACATCTATCCCACTAATGAAACGCGTACATTTATTATCTCAGAAGTACGACCAGCTACTAGCCAACTTTGAGGCAATGGTGACCACCAAAATCACCACGATTGGGGTAAACGTAGCGGACTGTGCAACCTAAGCCTCCCCAGTAAGTGCTGCTCCTATCCTGAGGAAAACGGCTGACAAGAAGACGTCAACAGCCCAGAAATCCAACTGCTGTTCCAATGCCACACGTGGCTCATATTTGACTAATGCGGAATAACTACACGTAAGGCTATTTTCAATCTCCCGACGGCGTGCGCCTAAAAAGAGCAAGCGGATACTAGCGAAATTTAAGGTTGCTTCTAAGTAAACCCGTATTTTCAAATTAACATCACCCCAACTGCATCGAAAACTGAGTAGCGTAGCGGAGTTCTTCTGTCGCAAGCACCACCGGTTTTCTGCGGTAAATCTTCGGGTATTTCAAGCACTAACCACGACATGTCAAAAAGTGTAAAACAACTATAACTAACTGTACTGAGCGTGTTGTGCTCCAATATCCCGGAATCAAAGTCCACTTCAGGCAGTTGGATGACCTAAACCAGTGGGACATTATTAGTAACCTAATCGGTGTTGTATTGAAAGGTGTATGCGTAGTGCGTATCACGCGGCACCCCAACTCTATGCATAACGGAGAGCCAAGACTTCGGCGTATTGCGTTGGACTTCATTACTGAATTAGAATCGGTACTACTGTCGACAGGTGGTCTCAAACACGAACACTGCTCCATCCGTGTTTTTCCAGATATCCCATGGGATGAGCGTTGTCGTGTTAACCGTAACTTAGGGGACAACCAGAAGGAAACTTTAACCAGAACCATACTTCTTCACCGGGTTCCTGAAACTGAGGCATCTGAGGAGCATGAACCCACGCTAAAGAACAATGGTGTTTTATTCGTCATACACTCTGCTTGGAAAAGGTGCTAACGAAATCCGTATCACGGCTGCGTACGTCACCGAACTACAAGGATGTGGCCCGAGAGTGTTGTAGGTGGTCCTACAGTCAAAACGTATGGTGGCAAGACTGCTAAAAAGCCTGTACATGTTTCGTTGCAGGCTACCATTTGAGCTTCGGCTGAAGACAGTCACTAATATGCCTCCTATAGATAATACGTCACACAACGGACCA